ATAATGACCTTTATCACAATATGCTAATTTTTTGAGAAGGACCTGTACATTGAGCTGAAATTTGGTGTGGCGGTAGCTGGGAGCAATGCCCAATAAATGCTGAATTCAAAAAAAAATTTCAAGATGGCCACCAAAGCTAAATTTAAACCGCTTTAACTCAGCTATTTTTTTTTACAAATATAGAGTTGAAATTTGGTGTGGTTATAACTCAGAATGTTCCCCATCACATACTGAATCCAAATCCAAGATGGCCACCTTAAAAGAAAAAATGAAAATAACTTATTGATTTTTGTTGTTGTTGTTGTTGTTGTTGTTGTTGTTGTTGTTGCCATATTGAGTTGAAATGTGGTGTACTGGTAGCTGAGAGTGAACCCCACACAGTACTGCCAAATCAAACTTTTAAAATGGCCGCATCGTGACAGTCCCCGTCAAAGTTTCTCCAGGAACTTTCTAGCATTAAAACTTCACCTGTGTTGTCAAGCGTTCTGATTTGGGTGGGACAGTCCCAAATTTTGCCCCCCTTTGTCCTGCATAAGGAGGGGCAGGACATCCAAACCAGTGTTGCCAGATGTCTGATAATTACTGTTTGTACAATAATTTTTCCCTCTGTATAATCAAAAATTCCAAATATCACGATATGTTTGATAAGTTGACTGCTTCCCTGCATGACTGAATGAACACGTGTGACTGGCAGCAGAGGTGGCGTATTGTGGAACACTCACAGAGTTACCAACTTAGCGATTTTGTTGCTATATTTAGTGAGTTTTTAGACCCGTTTAGTGACTATTTCTCAAAAAAGCGACGTGACAAATCTAGTGATCTTTTCTGGTTTATTGAGACTTTTGGGTGAGGAGCAGTTTCTGCTGTAGGCTTCTCCATTGTACATACATTTTATTGTTGGATGTAACTGGGACCCTGTGTACATAATTTCGCTCCACCAGATGTACCACATGAGGTGCGAATGACAATAAAGAATCTCTGACTCTCTGGCCTTGTGGCCACAGCTCCAATAAGCTGCCTCGACAATGGAGACATGGAACATGGCCCACTCGAACTCAATGTCCCCCACCAATTCCCCCGGAACGTGTTCTAAGTTCTCCCGGAAATGGAATTTAAAGCTCTGCCAGATGTTCCCAGTGGACCCTCACGATACGTTTGGGCCTGCCAAGTTTGACCGGCATCCTCCCCCACCACCGGAGCCAACTCACCACCAGGTAGTGGTCAGTGGACAGCTCCGCCCCTCCCTTCATCCAAGTGTCCAAGACATGTGGCCGCAGATCAGATGAGACGACAACAAAGTCAATCATTGAAGTGCGGCCTAAGGGTGTCCTGGTGCCAAGAGCACATATGGACACCCTTATGCTTGAACATGGTGTTCGTTATGGATAATCCATGATGAGCACAGAAGTCCAATAACAGAACACCACTCGTGTTCAGATCGGGGGGGGGGGGGTGTTTTCCCCAACCGCACCTCTTCAGATCTCACTGTCATTGCCCACGTGAGCGTTGAAGTCCCCCAGCAGAACAAGGGAGCCCCCAGGAGGGGCACTCTCCAGTAGTATCCCCTCCAAGGACTCCAAAAAGGGTTGGTTCTTGGTCTTAGTTTAACAAAATGTATTTTATACAATATAATATTATACAATATGTTATTGAATGGGTAAATTCTAATGATGGTCAAATGAAGCTTTTCTGAAGCACTGAAGCTTCTTTCAAAAAAGGTTCATGACTCAAAGATTTTCAACTCTGTCCTCTCTGGTGACATCTTGTGGCCAAAAATATAAAGATCAGCTTGAAATCCCAGCATGACATGAACCCTTCATCGCAGTTGTTAGCTGACAGAGCTGACAGCTGTTGGTTAAAATCCTGAGACATTTCTGTCTGATATCGGGCTCATTGTGCTGCTTTGAATATTTATTTTTGTGGGTGACAGAATTAAGTTATGGCTATTCGATGGATGAATACTTTTCATGAATAAACGTTAAAACATGCAGTATGGCATGATACCCTTTGCTTGTGACTTTTTGACATTTGTAAACACAGATTTTTAAAACATGACATCTAATTCAGAACACAATATCAATTTGTCAATCAATCAAATTCTTAATTCCAAATTATCAATTTGGAATGACACTTGTGCTTTAAGCTTCCAGCCTCCGTGACTTCATGTAATGAACTAGTTTATGTTTACTGTGAGATCACATTCTAACTTTTTGTTTTCATTCAGCCTTTATTTATACAGGTTAGTCTCAATGAGTCACGAGGACTCATTTCAAGAGAGACCTGTTTTAGACAGTTATAAAGTACATACAACAATAATTCAACAAAAAGCAATTAATTCAAGTTTAAAAAGTTATAAACACAGTCAAATCATGATGCCATATAAAACAAAGTAAAATACTAAAAACAAGAACATATTTGCTTAGGTTTTTCATTAGCAAACGTTTAAAATCCCTTAAAGAAATCTAAGTGAACAGCTTCAGATGTCCTTGCAAGTTGTTCCAGGTTACAGGAGCTGAGTAGGAAAAGGTCTTTTTTCAGAGTTCAGTCCTCACTGAGGGGACGCTTCAGGTAATGAAGGCCTGAGAGCGCATGCTGTAACTGCAGATGAAGTAACATGCCGGAGGACATTCTGTACAATATAAGAAGGTAGCAGACCAAGAAGTGATTTATAGATAAAAACGAACCAGTGTGAGAGCCTACGTGTAGATAATGATACCATACCATACCATACCATTTTATTTATAGAGCACTTAAAACAGCGACAAGGCCAACCAAAGTGCTGTACAAACAGAAAACAGGCAACGCACAAAGCAATATACAAAATGGAGTAAAATCAGAATATAGACACAAAATCGTTGCAGATAATAAATATAACGACTAACCTGTGTGAAGCATACAGGTTCAAACACAGATCATCTACTGTTGAACGCTACGGAATAGTAGTTAAGTTTTTAAGGGGGATTTGAAAACCGAGAAGAAGGGGGCCTGTCTGACAAGAAGAAATAGCTCGTTCCAAAGTCTTGGGCCTGCGACAGAGAAGGCCCTGTCACCCCTGCGCTTAAGACGAGTTCCTGGAACTGTGAGAAGCAACTGGTCCGCAGGTATAAAGAGAATAGAAGGGGATGACCAACTGACCAATGAGTACAGTGTGCAGTGATGGGTATGATATTACAACCAGTTATGAATCTTAGTGCACCATGGTAGACAGCATCCAACATCTGCAAGGAGCTGGCAGGGGCATTCATGTAAATGTCACCATAGTCAATGGTCGGTAGGAAAGTAGCAGTTACAAGGTGTTTTCTGGCATTCAGAGTTAAGCAAGATCTATCTGAAAAAGAAACTCAGTTTTAACTTCAGTTTATTTGTCAAGCTTTCAATATGTGTCTTAAAAGAGAAATGCGCATCTACTAAAATTCCCAAGTATTTGTAAGAATTCACAAACTCAATAGGAACGGCATGCATGGATGAGATAGGAGGAAGAGTTGCTGGCACTGACTTTCTGTTTGAAAACAACATCCCTTTGGTTTTTGTCAGCATTTAGCATCAGTTTGAGGTGGAATAGGTCTGAATGATGTCAAATATAGACTGTAGAAGGTGGAAAACCTTGACAACTGTGTTAGCTTGGCAATAACAGTATTGTCAGCATAGAGATGCAAGGAGGCGTCAGGAATGTTTTGAACTACATTATTTATATAAATATAAATATATAAAAATAACTGAGGAAGCGGTACCTGGGGACTCTGGGTCGGGCCTTCCAATCTCTGGTGCTGAGGTCACCGAGGTGGTTAAAAAGCTCCTCGGTGGCAGGGCCTCCGGGGTGGATGAGGTTCGCCCGGAGTTCCTTAAGGCTCTGGATGTTGTAGGGTTGTGTTGGCTTACACGACTCTGCAATATTGCGTGAACATCAGGGGAAGTTCCCCTGGATTGGCAGACCAGGGTGGTGGTCCCCCTATTCAAAAAGGGGGACCGTAGGGTGTGTTCCAACTACAGGGGGATCACGCTCTTAAGCCTTCCTGGTAAGGTCTATTCGGGGGTTCTGGAGAGGAGGGTCCATCGGATAGTCAAACCTCGGATTCAGGAGGAGCAGTGCAGTTTTCGTCCTGGTCGTGGAACACTGGACCAGCTATACACTCTCAGCAGGGTCCTGGAGGGTGCGTGGAAGTTTTCCCAACCGGTCTACATGTGCTTTGTGGACTTGGAGAAGGCATTCGACCGCGTCCCTCGGGGAACCCTGTGGGGAACCCTGTGGGGAACCCTGTGGGGAACCCTGTGGGGAGTACTCGGGGCGTATGAGGTACTGGGCCCCTTGATAATGGCTGTTAGGTCCCTGTATGACTGGTGTCAGAGCCTGGTCTGCATTGCCGGCAGTAAGTCGGGCTTGTTCCCGGTGAGAGTTGGACTCCACCAAGGTTGGCCTTTGTCACTGATTCTGTTCATAACTTTTATGGACAGAATTTCTAGGTGCAGCCAAGATGTTGAGGGGATCCGTTTTGGTGGCCTTAGGATTGTGTCTCTGCTTTTTGCAGATGATGTGGTCCTATTGGCTTCATCAGATCATGATCTACAGCTTTCGCTGGAGTGGTTCGCAGCCGAGTGTGACACAGCCGGGATGAAGATCAGTTCCTCCAAATCCAAAGCCATGGTCTTGAGCCAAAAAAGGGTAGAGTGCCCTCTCCAGGTCAGGGAGGAGGTCCTACCCCAAGTGGAGGAGTTCAAGTATCTTGGGGTCTTGTTCACGAATGAGGGAAAAATGGAACATGAGATTGAAAGTTGGATAGGTGCATTGTCTGCAGTGAAGTGGGCACTGTACAGGTCTGTCGTGGTGAAGAGAGAGCTGATTCAAAAGGTGAAGCTCTCAATTTACCGATCAATCTACGTTCCTACCCTCATCTATGGTCATGAGCTTAGGGTTGTGACAGAAAGAACAAGATCTCGGATACAAGCGGCCGAAATGAGCTTTCTCCGCAGGGTGTCTGGGCTCTCCCTTAGAGATAGAGTGAGGAGCTCGATCATCCGGGAGGGACTCAGAGTAGAGCCGCTGCTTCTCCACATCGAGAGGAGCCAGTTGAGGGGGCTCGGGCATCTGGTTAGGATGCCTCCTGGATGCCTCCCTGGTGAGGTGTTCCGGACACGTCCCACAGGGAGGAGACCCAGAGGAAGACCCAGGACACGCTGGAGGGACTATGTTTCTCGGCTGGCCTGGGAACACCTCGGGATTCCCCCGGAGGAGCTGGCCCAAGTGGCTGGGGAGAGGGAAGTCTGGGCCTCCCTACTTAAGTTGTGACCCGACCCCAGATAAGCAGAAGAAAATGGATGGATGGATGGATGGATATTTATATAAATTGTAAAAAGAGAGGATCCTAAAACTGAGCCTTGTGTTGCACCATTATTGACCATTAACTAGCTGGACAAAGTACCATTGGGTTGAACACGTTGCCTCAGATCTGAGAGATAATTAAAAAACCAACCAATCTTTTTTTGTTAGTTTTTATACATGCACCACAGCTTCAGCTTCAGCTTCAAACAGCCCATCACTACTAAACTGTGTTTTTATCTGATTATCAAAAGCTCAAGGTGTTGGAGAAAGTTAAATATTTTTTTATTCAGTGAAAAAAAGCAGCAGCCATAAATATTTGAACTGATCTTATTATTACTTCCTGTTGTTCCACTTCTTCATCAGTTAATGTCTTCACAGACGGAGGAGGAGGAGTGGTGTTTGTGAGGAGGAGAAGCTGTCCTGCTGTTCTTTGTGTCTGGATGTCCTGAAGGATCCAGTCTCTACCAGCTCTGGACACAGGTTCTGTGGACCGTGCTGGGGACAGCCTGCTTCATCAGGACCCTCCTCCTCTACCCAGTGTGGAAAAAGCTCCAGAACTGGACTTGAGACAGCCAGTCAGAGCATTTGTGTCCAAGGTAAAACATTTCTGTGAATGTGTTGTTTTAATACAGACACATTGTTGAGTCAGAGAATGAAGATTTAAAATCCTTCATATTTAACCAACTGCTCTGTGTCACATTTTTCATCAGATGTTGGTCTCCAGGAGGTCTTAGAGGAACATCGAATCTGTCTGAGGAGGAGATGTGAACATGTGACTGAAGGAAGTGATGAAACAGGAAGTAGAACCCTCCTCAACAGTATCTACACTGAGCTCTACATCACAGAGGGACAGAGTGAAGAGGTTAATACCCAACATGAGGTGAGGCAGCTGGAGACAGCTTCTAAAAGGAGCCTCCATGAGACTCCAATCAGATGCCAGGACATCTTTAAAGCCTTACCTGAGCAACATGGATCTATCAGAGTAGTTCTGACCAACGGCATCGCTGGCGTTGGAAAAACCTTCTCAGTGCAGAAGTTCACTCTGGACTGGGCTGAGGGCTTGGAGAACCAAGATGTGAGCGCAGTGGTTGTGCTTTCGTTCAGGGAGCTGAACTTGATCAGAGATGAGCAGCACAGTCTTCTCACACTGCTCCATGTTTTTCATCCAACATTACAGAAGGTCCCAGCAGAGAAGCTGGCTGTCTGGAAACTTCTCTTCATCTTTGACGGCCTGGATGAAAGCAGACTCCACCTGGATTTCACCAACAGTCAGCTGCTTTCTGAGGTCACACAGAAGTCCTCGCTCAATGTGCTACTGACAAACCTCATCAAGGGGAACCTGCTGCCCTCGGCTCTGGTCTGGATCACTTCCAGACCTGCAGCAGCCAGTCAGATCCCTCCTTCAGGTGTGGACAGGCTAACAGAAGTACGAGGCTTCACTGACGCCCAGAAGGATGAGTACTTCAGGAGGAGGTTCAGTGATGAAAAGCTGTCCAGCAAAATCATCTCCCACATCAAGACCTCCAGGAGCCTCCACGTCATGTGTGGAATCCCAGTCTTCAGCTGGATCACTGCTACAGTTCTGGACCACATGTTGGCCATAGAGCAGAGAGGAGAGCTGCCCAAGACCATGACTGACATGTACTCACACTTCCTGCTGGTTCAGACAACCAGGAAGAAGAACAAGTACCATGAAGGAGCTGAGACCAGTCCACAGAAGCAGACAGAGACTGACCGGGAAGTCCTTCTGAAGCTGGGGAGGCTGGCGTTTGAACATCTGGAGGAAGGAAACATCATGTTCTACCAAGAAGACCTGGAGCAGTGTGGTCTGGATGTCACAGAGGCCTTGGTGTACTCAGGAGTTTGTACAAAGATCTTCAGAAGAGAGTGTGTGATCTTCCAGAAACCAGTCTACTGCTTTGTTCATCTGAGCATTCAGGAGTTTTTGGCTGCAGTCTACATGTTCCACTGTTACACCAGCAAGAGCATGGAGGTGATTGAAAGATTACTGAGGGAGGAGTACAGTTACTCATCTCTGGATGACTTCCTGATCAGAGTCTTGGAGAAATCCTTCCTCAGTCAAAATGGCCACCTGGACCTATTTGTCCGGTTTCTTCATGGCCTCTCTGTTGAGTCCAACCAGAGACTCTTAGGAGGTCTTCTGGGTCAGACAGAGCACAGTCCAAGAACCATTCAGAGAGTCATCAGCAATCTAAAGGAGATGAACCTCTATGTTCAACAGAACAAGACCAGCGATGGAATCATGTTTTCTAGGAACAGTAATATTTCTCCAGACAGAAGCATCAATGTCTTCCACTGCTTGACGGAGATGAAAGACCTCTCAGTTTATCAAGAGATCCAAGAGTTCCTGAAATCAGAGAACAGATCAGAGAAGAAACTCTCAGAGATCCAATGTTCAGCTCTGGCCTACATGCTGCAGATGTCAGAGGAGGTTCTGGATGAGTTGGACCTGAAGAAGTACAATGCATCAAAGGAGGGACGATGGAGACTGATTCCAGTTGTGAGGAACTGCAGAAAGTTTCGGTGAGTCCAGATGTGTTCATTTCTGTCATCAGTTAGTGTACAGTGCTGCGAAAACTTTTAAATATTTCCAAGGTATTTATTTAACTTTTTTGTCACAGTTAATGTCTGAGATCATCAAACCTCTCTAACTTTATCTCCCAGTTGTTCAACCTGTGCTGTACCTCTGATGATCTCATTCCTAATCTTATCCATCCTTGTCACTCCTAAGGAGAACCTCAACATCTTCATTTCTGCCACTTCCAGTTCTTTCTCCTGTCTTTTTGCCAATGTCTCTGTCTCCAGACCATACAACATAGCTGGTCTCACCACTGCTTGTAAATGTTTCCTCTGACCATCCAGATTTACACTGAGCACAACTGTTTGCTAACACTTACCATGATAAAAACGGCTACAAGTCGTGGGATTAGCTAATTTACCACCTTTGTTTGACGTCGTACAACCGTAAACTTCTGTGATGAATCCACAACGCCAAATATTATTCCTCGGTATGCGATGAAATATGCAATAACGAAGCTTGGAAAAGTACAAGATTTCACGGTTGCTTGTAGCTTCTTTGAACTTAGTTCGCACATCAGCGCTGAAACTCCTTGTGGCCAGTTTGCAACTGCGCAGCATAGATTTTGTTGTGCGCAGAGAAGGTGCAAGCAGTGCACAGATTGCACAGGCGCATAGCTTAGAGGGAACACTGGATCTGAGCTCAATTTTGAGTTTCATGGCAAAGGCTGTGAATGCTTAACATAACTGTTGTTTCTTAGTTTTCTATTTTTTAATAAATCTGCAAAAATCTCAATAAATCTTTTTTTCACTGTCATAATGGGGTATTGTTTGTAGAATTTTGGTGAAAAAGATGAATACTATTTAGAATAAGGCTGTAGCATAACAAAATGTGGAAAAAGTGAAACGCTGTGAACATTTTCTGGATGCACTGTATGTCTTAGAAAGTCGAGGGTTTTTGTCACCATATCAAAGTGTGTGTTTTGAAGGGGTCGCAACGCTATGGACTTTATTTAATGTTTGGAATCGGACATCAGGAAAGCACAGACTAACAAAGAGGTAGTGGTCGCTGTCATAGCTCTGCTCTCTGTCAGCTCCTCTGTCATGCTGCACACTCAGTAATCACTCAACTCATGTCACCTGTCACCGCTCATTATCCCACAGCTCCACCACCTGGTCCAGTCAGTACTTAAGCTCACTCATTCCTCTCAGTCTGGGCCAGATTCTCTATCCTGTCTCATCAGCAGTAGACTTTCCAGCATTCCATTGATTGACTCATCACGTTCATGACCCTTGCCTTGACCACGACCACGTTTTTGCCTCAGCCCTCGTCTGCTTTTGCTCATCTGATCAGGTACCGACTCATGCTCTTGTTTTTTGACTCTCTTTTTGGATCACGTACTGGATACTTCTGCTGAACAACTGACTTCACGGTATGAACTCTGCCTTTCCCTTCTGACTGTTTTTTGGATCACGGATTAAAGGTCAAGCTCATTCTGTATCACGGACTTATCCTTACCCCTGAATCTGATTCCCACAGATTCATTTCCCCAATTAGTCTTTTTCCCCCTGCATCTACTAACCTTTATCTTTTAGTTGCAAGCCTGTT